CACCTGCTAACAGCCCCCATATTTAACTGCATTTAACTCAGAAAAGGACACAGGTCAAAGTGCAAACCTCAGCCCAGCAAGGCTCTTGTTGCAGAGGACACTGCAGTCGTGGGGGTGGCAGCACCAAGGCCGGTGGTTGCCACAGGGGAAGAGCTCTGCCTGTGCAGCTCCTGCAGGGCTGAGCAGTCCCACAGCTCCTGGCCAGGGCACACCAAGGACTGCCCAGCCCCGGGGCAGCTCTGCTGGCAGGGGCACACAGAGGGGCTGCCCGGTGCCCTCCCCACCACCCAAAGGCTTCTGGAGTGAGTATCAGCAGGTCAGAGACTTCCCTTGCACGGCTGGTGAGCACATCTGAGAACAGATTCCAGTGGGTGCTATCTAACCTGATCTGGGGCCTGGATACATGCCCAGACATTTATGGTGTCTGGTTTATTCATTATTGTGCCATATTCTTGGTTGGTGATGACACAAAAATTTGAACCAACTTCATCTTTCAGGATCAACCTCAGCTACTTGACTTTTAATTTAAAAACTTTTAGGCAACAGACTCTGATATGCAGAATACCTCTGACAGAATGGATGTTAAGAATCTTACCCTCCCTGCCTTTCCTTTAAACCATTTCTATAATTAATTACCAGGTGTTGACTCAGATATTCCTAATCTCGATCTATTCCTACTATCAGCTATATGACCTGTCTTATGTTCTATTTAATGCAGCTTTTAAAGAAAATTAGAGAACTCATAAAGTCTTTAACTTACAGTTTTGACTTCTAGACGACATAAATCAGGGTATTTCCTAAAACTTTATTTTAAAAGCTTTAGTCATGCTTTGTTCATTGAAGCTTATCTAGGCTAGTTTAGCAAAATTTAAAGTTTCAGTGACTTTCTAATCACTCTTCAACAACAGTTGCCTCTGCAAAAACTTAACTATGTGCTGGCTAAAATGGAAAACTCCACTGCTTATTATTAATACCCTGGTACTACTGATTACAACAATTAATAAAAAAGTTAATTAAAATCATTAATTAGAAAAAATAATTAGGAAAGTTATATAATTTCCAACAAAACAGACACTGCTCACAAATTATGCTATTTCTTACATTAAGTTGTACCAAGTCAGACATATCAGAATTTGTTACAAAGCAATGCAACAAGTAATAGCTGAACAGCACAATTTTTCCCTGAAACAGTCTCAATGGAAAATATTTTCAACAGTTTATTAAACAGGTTTACCATTGAAACATTCACATGCTGCCCACTGAAAAAAGGCTGCACCAACTTAGAAGTGTGAAAGCAAATGGAGAGTTCTGAGCAAGATAATCCTTCCAGGTACATCTTGCTACTGCTTTCACTCAAGTCCATTTGAAACAGGTTAATACCAAAGCAAAGTAAGTCACTCAGACTGAAATCAGAGTGGGTTTACACTGCCTTCAGTAAAACAGTGCTAGTCTGGGTGTGAAGAAAACATGAATGAGTGTTATGTGTTGTCTCTGCAATAAGACCCTGTGTAGATGGGGCTTCCTTTTGTTTGCATAAGAATTTAAATGCAGTTTAAAGCTGATTTATGCCAATTTGGTTTAAACAATATGCAGAGTGGTTTGAAGACTGGCTAAATGGATCAAGATATAAATGGATCAAAATGGAATTACAGAGGAAAAAACCATAATCTTTACCTAATCAAATTAATTTTAAAATGTGTTCAAAGGATTCCACTTACATTGTCTTTATGGCACTAAGAAGCAAGAAGGAAACTTTCAACTGGTAGATGTTCTATGAAAGAAATTGAGCTAAACTTTTCTTCTTCTTAAATTAGGAAGAAAACCAGAGCATTACAGAATGAAGACTCCAAAATATCAATGAAGGAGAATGTTCTAGAACGAATACCCTTTCCTAGTTTTCTTTCATTCCTCTTCATCTTATTATCCTTCTATTGGTACCTTTATTTTGCACTCCAAGACAGTATTTCCCAGAGTTCTTTCGATGTTTTGAATAGGTTTTTTTCCTTTTAAGGGAAGATTCAGAAGACTTCAAATTACTACTTTTGGTACTTCACTTTCTCTCTCTGACTTCTGTCAGTAGTGTCACTGTTCAAACTGATTAAAGCCTGAACCATTATCCATTGTCAGAACATAATGGTATTAACAGCTGTTTTGCTTAGATGAAGAAAAAAGCTATCTGGCAATAATATCATTTAAAAAGTAATACAAGCTAGAAGCGCTGCAGGTTTCTTGGGTGCCCTCTTGGTGCTTTTTAAAACGCAACCTAACACCACTTTACTATAGGCCACAAGAATATCTGTGCAACAAAGGTCTTCAGGCAGTATTCAAGACACAGAAATCATGGAATCACAGCTTCAAATCCAGATTATTATTGAAGCTGGCAGTATTTTATTCATCAGCTTATACAAAACCTGGAAGAAACACAATTTCTCTCTGAGCTACAGGTCATAAGGACATGTAAGAGTAGCCCAGCTGGCAGTGAAGTTTTGAAATTTTTTTTGGCATTGATTCTAAACTTTTAATTTCAAATGACAAAGCCATGCCAAAGACAGTTTTTCCAACCAACCTTTTATACTATAAAATGAGTTCTTTTTTTATTTTGGCAGTGCCAATATAATTTGAGATGTCAGCATATATCCAGTGCAGAAAAAAAATATGAACTATCTTAAAACAACATCTTGCCAGTATCATGCCACACTCCCCTTTTCTAAAGAAAACGTTTTTACTAACTAAATTTTAGTATTTAATTGAAAGTCTCTAGAGCTTTAGAACCCTGATGACTAAAACCAGAGACATTTCTCATGGTTTCAAACATGCAGAATGAAATTCCATTTCAGAGAGAGGTGCGGTGCCAGCAAAGGATGCGTTTTTGTGAGCAGGCAGGGAGAGGTCGGGGTGCTGCAGCCAGGCCGAGGGGCTCGGGCAGTGCCCGGGCAAAGCCAGCCCCAAAACCCCAGCCCCGCAACCCCTCCACTGCAACCCCAGCCCCACAACTCCTCCACTGCAACCCCAGCCCCGCACCTCGAACAGCGCCACTGCCCCACAGACCCGCCCCACCCGCACTGCTGCAACTCCACCGTCCTGGCTTGTAAGATCAGCATGTATTCTATTTGCCATCTGTTGGAGGTTGGGCAGTTTTCTTATCTCTCCCAAGAACAATGTCTCCCTCCGGGGAGAATCTTCTGTTAATGGGCCATGGAATGACTCCCTGCATGATGGTAAAGTTCCATCATCCCATGGGGAGATGCTCCGCCCAGAGGGAGGAGCCAAGCACCCCCACCTGCATAAAATCAGCACTTTTGGGACACCAGGGCAGTCCTTTGCTGGATTCCCAGAGGAGCAGCTTCTTCTCTGCTGGATCCCCAGAGGAAGACCAGGCCCACCTACTCCATCACCAGACCTTCAGAGAAAACTCCACCCTTCTACAGAATCACTGCTCCAGCAGCATTTCATCTGCCACTCCAGGAGGAGCAGCCACCATTTAACTGCACTATTACCAACACCCTGACTCCTCAGGGTGTCAGGTTGATGACTCTATCACTAGTTTTGTTTGTACTAGTTACATTTTTTTTAATTTTTTTTTTTTAGTTTTTCTCCTAGTAAAGAACTGTTATTCCCATTGCCATATCTTTGCCTGAGGGCCTTTTAATTTTGAAATTGTGGTAATTGGGAGGGAGGGGGTGTACCTTTTCCATTTCACAGGAGGCTTTTGCCTTCCTTCACAGACTCCTGTCTTTTCAAACCAAGACAGCCACCCATACCACCCCTGACTGTCACTTCCCGAGTTTCCTATGGCCGGGAAAGAATGCCCAGGAAAGCCAACACTGATGCAGCAGCAATCCATTGAACCCCAGCTCTGCTCACTCCCAGCAGCACGGCACCTCCAGCTCTCAGCTCAACAGCCCTTTCTGCCTGCCACCAATTGTTCTCAGAAATCTCATTCTCCCTTTGCATACACTTCCTGCATACAAAGCCCAAGTACTATTAAAATCCTGCCTCTTTTCCTGCCAAATCACTTGATTACTCCATTTCATTTCAATACTTGCTTGACAAATCCAACTCTGGAAACACTAAGGCCTGGTCTAATGTTTACAAGAACTCATATCAGCAAGTCTTACTACATAATCAAAGAATGAAATGAAGACAAATAAAACTCATCCATGTATTTGGATTTTTTTGACTGCTACATACACAAAATCTGTGTAGCTAACGGGACTCCAGAATACTGCCAAGAGGGAAACAAAGCAGGAAGAACAGGTCAATACAGAAGGACTTGCTATATGCATTTTTCTGTATACCTTACCTTCCAGTGCATAATTATTACCTGCTAATGTGTATATCCAAACAAGTTGGCTAAAAAGAATGGCATCATTTTGCTGAAATTGCTTTCGACTGATGGATATTTTAATCTTTCTAATTGATTTAAGTTACAACCCAATCCTAAGGCATGAGATGCCTTAAGCAAAGGACAGTCACTCATTTATAGCAAATTAAGGTACTCTTAGAGTAACACATCACAGATTCATGGGAAATTATTTGATATTTTTTAGATTATTTTAATTTAGACAAATGAGTAAATAGTCCACTGAATCACAGGATAGAGAAAATGATTGGCAATTACATTACTTGAAAGAATGCTACCAGAACAAAATGGTTAAGTAGCACATTTCTAAGAAAGCGACATTTTACAAAAAGACAAAAGCATATATTTTCCACCAAAAATCTAGAGCTGCTGTCATCAACAACCCAACAAAAGCTACAGCTACCTAAAATGGAAATGAAAATGTAATGTATGGAAATATTCTCTTATAAAATCTCCTTAGGCTTCACATGTATTAATGTATTAGTTTGCAAACATTAAGATCAAAGGCGAAGCAACAAATATATCCTAAAAAGTTTTTAGTCAGATTTTTATTAACGATATACAAGTAGCAAGGCATAAAAAATTAATATGTTCAAGCCTTGAAATGTCAAGTGTAATGATCTCTAGCTCTGCTTACCTCCTTTGCTTTTTGTTTCAGTCTAGCTTGCTCTGGGTCTTCTTGCCTTGAGCGACTCTACATGTTTAAAAAAAATGGGGAAAAAAGGTTAACAGATGGTTTTAAGAACCCCTCATCTGTTGCAGTAAGTTTAAAAATAGCAAAGAAATAGGAACAGGAATCAAGGTATCAAACATGGGACACTTAAATTGACAGAAGTGCAATTTCAAACCCATGAGCCTCACCCAAAATGAGGTTAAATGCTCAGTTGTAAATGAGATATAGTCAAGATCTGAATTAAAACAAAAACCAAAAAACCAAAACCAACAAAAACAAAAAAACCCAAAAAACAAACAAAAACAAAAAAAACCACAACCAAACAAAAAGAACCCAACCAAAACCCAACTCAACCATGTTTTTGTCAATGTGGAAGTTTCCACACAGGTTTAGATTTTAATGATTTAATACTAACAAATTCAAGCATCCAAGAGCAGAAGTTACACCCTTTCCATTAACTGAGCTTTTACATTTAGGTCCTTACAATCACATATCTTAAAATTTACTGTTTGAAACTGAGCTTGTATTTAGCTCTTGGTAGAGAACATGAATAAAACCATTGTAGAGATGCCCTTCCAAAAGGTAAATCTTTATAATAAAGTTGTTACTGTTCCATATGAGCTCACTTTGAGTACAGCATAGAAATACACTCAGTAAAACCCATTAATGCACTACTAATAATACTTATATTGTCAATTTTAAAACTGGATAAATATCACTAAATGACAACTTTTGTATTTTCCTCCAAAACCAGGAACAGCTCTAAAAGCAAATAATGTAATTACAACAACAATCTGTAACATTTCTTTAAACATAGAGCATTTTATAACCACATGTTAAAAAACCATTAAATTTGTATTTGTGCTCACTACACATTCTCAGACTGATGGAATTCAAAACTCAAGAGGCAGATAATACACACGTTATACTTTTACAAATGTGTGATAGGTCAGCATTCAGCAAATGTTGCATAAGAAGTTGTAAGAAGCTCCAATAAAACTTGTGATATCCATGGAAAACTGTTGTTCCTGATACCTGAGAGATGGGGTAGTTCTACTTGAGTATTTCTCTGAGATTTAAAGTGATATCAGTTACACAACTCCTAAAGGAATGTCTGTGCCCTCTCCCATCTGTCATTCTCTACTTGTTGCTATGCTGAAGGCAGACCTGAAACTTGAAACAATATTCATTTGCAAACTTATATATTCTCAGATGTTTTTTCCAGTGTTTAAATTTTTCATACTATATTCTGGTCAGAATTCAAAAATCCATTAAGAAAGCCAAAGGGAGATAGGTGTTAAGGTCTTGCACTTAAAAGGGTCGTGTACTATTTTTGATACACCTGGAGAGTGCCTTGGCTTGATTCAGCACAGAATTCCGTACCCTTTCTCCTGTTCATTTTGTGGGTTTGGTTGGTTTTTTTTGAACTGGGATTAATTTTTTTCAGCTAATATAGCACACCTATAAAACACAGTGCTGATAACACAGAGTGACATTAAACAATAATGAGATTTTTTGATTCACCTTCCAACAACATCTACGAGTGCTTTTGCATCTGTTGGCGTAAAAAAATCTTGGAAAGGACATTGTCTGCAGCAACTGAATGCCAAACTGAAATCTGGGATAGTCAATGACCAAATCAGACTCTTGTGTTGCAGTTGTGCCAACCTAGAAAGAAACTCCACCCCAACACAGGCTGAGGTTCCTTCTAACTCCTGTAGCCAGACAAAAAGAAAAATGTAGATAATGTGACCTAGTTAATGTTCAAAGGACAAAAAGGATATGTGGGTCTGCCAGAGAGCTGGGTTTCTAATCAACACAGCAATTACTAAGATCTTAATTATATTTATACCTATTAGGTTAAAAACCAGAGTAACAAACCCCAGTCAGTTGAGCTGCTTATCTAAGAGATGGGCTAAGGTCAGTATTTATGAACTGAGCTGAACAAGGTCCTTGCTGTCATTTTGCAAGAACAATTCAATCACTGCAGCCTCAGTTTCTCCAGTATGATGTATGGAAAAGCATATTTAGCCCTTTCATGGGTTTTGATGATAAATTTATAAATGTACAGTGAACTTCTATTGCCTTGTGAGCCTCACAGTGAAAGCTGTACAGAAACACAAAGTACTGTTACACTACTGTATGAAGCTGAAAATTCGCCAAATGCAAAGTACAAGTTAAAAGCACGTCAGCTTTAGGAGGAAGCAGAGTGTCCTGAGAGAATCCAACTAAGACTTCTAATATTGTTACTAACTTTCTACAAGGAAATGATAGAATCCTGGAAAACACACCAGATGTATGCAGTGTTTGGGGATAGTGTAAGAAAAATTAAAGCAGGAGATGCAAAGTAACATTGCAATTTCCTGAGCTCCATAAGTGAAGGAAAAACTCTGCAAGTTCTAGAGAGTAAATAATACATTCAAAAGTTGGGGCTTTTTCTTTCTTCCCCAGAAACGGACCAAATAAGAGCAGATCTGGAGTTCAGGATAATCTCAACATGCAAAAGCAAGTCATGTACTCTGTGTAAACCTGCAGCTTGTTCACAGTAAACTACCATAAACATTACTGCAGAGGTAAAAGCAGGTACTCAACTCCTGAACAATATCAAATACAGGAATCCTGTTTCAAAAATGAAGATCTAAAATACCATGTGAAGTTAAATATATAACTCAGATTGAAGGTGAAGACAGAACTATTTTTACATTTAGAATAATGCAATGATTTTCTAATCATTGCTTGAATCCATTTCAAAGAGCTTTTCTGAAGAATCCAGTCTAGTTCTTGTTTCCAACAAGCAGAATTCAAACTTAACATTGGATGTATCATTACTACTAAAAAATTAAAGGAATTTAACTCTTTTGTGCTCAGAAAAAATTTAACAGATTTTTTTAAAAGCATATTTGTAAGACTAAAATACTTTCCTGCTGGTTACCATGCCAGTAAGCTTTAGAAATAAAATCATCAGCATACAAAGGCTAAAATGTATTGAAGGACATGTATAAACATCAACTATCTCATTAATTCTTCACTTTATGATCAAATGTAAATTATAAAAGGCCTCACCAATGCTCATGTAACATGGATTAAAGCAAATATAAGCAAATGCAAATGTCAAGCTTAAGAGAGGTGCCTAAATGAGCTTTAGAAATGTCACTGGATTCTCTTTACACTCCATTCCACATGTGAACATTTCTCCCTTCCTCTGAAGAATTTGCACAATTTTGCTGTTGCTTGGCTCTTGTAGTGCTTTGTCTACATGTCAACATCACCAAGCAATTATTTTACTATTTCACACTTACTTTTGTCAAGCTACTGACTAATCATTCCCAGCTTTTTTTAAATTGCAGTTTAACTTTTTTCTTCCAGTTAATTCATATTTTGGGTTTTCTCTTCCTTTCTCCTTTATCCTAACATCCAAATCTTAATATGCAGCACTTCACCTGTTTTGTGAAACATTCTTTTCCAAATCTTTTAATGCACCAATGTTTCCTTCCTCTAAAGCTTTAGAAACACCTGCTAATCAGAGAACCCACCAAATCAAATATTTTCAAGGACTTTATCACAATTCCTTTGCCTTGCCCTCCCTGTTCATCATGTCTAGATCTGTAAATAAAGCAGGCTGCATTTACATAATGTATTTTCCTGTTGATGAATAAACACCTTTAAAAGCAAGCAAGTTTCCCATAGTAATTTTTGAGAAACCCAGGACTGATCCTAAGCAGATAACATACTCCTCAATATATTAAATGCCGTCTCCTACTCTGAATGTATTCAGCAAACCAGGTTTGTTAACCTTTCTCCCAAACACTAGCTATTTTATTAGACCAGACCTGATATTTTAATTGTGAAGAACCAAAGTGCTTTGTGTTAGAGAGTTCTTTATCAGGAAACTGAAAACTGCATAGATCACATTAGGTCTATGGAAATATTGGACTTCCAAAGTATGAAAAGCAGTGTATGTTTAATGTGAGTATTCAAAACAACAGAAATAAGGGGCTTCATTTACATGTTACCGAACTCCCTAATGATCCAAACCTCAGCTCTTCCCTTGGCTTCTGTTAAGGCAGGAGGCCACAAAAAGACACATCTAATTACACATGGAACAGTGTAGTTTTAAGGGTATTTCAGATTTCATAGAATTGTCTTAAATTAGAAAGCAACAATGTTTTTAAAATTATACGGGTATTTATAACCACACCATAGTTACAAACATGCACTATTTTTAAAAGAATTGGAGTATACTCTGCATCTGTGCAGATGGAGAGAATAAAAGTACTTCTGATGTGTTTCATTACCACAATTATTCAATACTTGATTTATATTCAATACTTGATTATTAACATCAAGGCTGCACTGTTGCTACATTTTTGATTGACTAATAAAAATTAAGTGTTCTGTTTAGATTTGTAAGGACTTTCAAGTCTCAGTTTGTTACACCTGTGTTAGGAAATGCCTCACAGGGTCTCTCCTGCATTTGGCTACATCTGATCCCAACTAAGGCACTTGCAGCTCTACTGCCCTTTACCAGTATATACACTGGAGGTCTTGAATGCCTCAAATTCATATTTTTGCATTAAATATTGTTAAGAGTCACAACTGCAGGTGCTGTACTAGCAAGAGCCACTGCTGTGCCAACAGTTTCAATTTTATACCTATTTTTCCCCATTGATGATATTAGAACTTCACCCACGGCTGTACCAGCTTATAACTTTCACTTTTAATTAAAGAAATTAAACTGGCAACATGAAACACTTTGCTTTCACGTTAGCTTTGTTAATAAAAAGTGAAAGTTAAAAGCATCACAGCTGAGGGTAAAACGCTGCTCAGTGTTACAACCATGGTGAGGTGGAATGCAGAAGCATAGGTCTGAAAAATGATTTATATTAAAATCATTAAAATTGCAGTAACGAATTCCTAAAAATTCATAAAATTATCTCAACGTAATAATTCCCATTTTGCTCTGCTCTCATCAGAAGTGAGTTCCAAGTGCTCATGCAGACAAGAGGCTGCACTGAATCCACTGCTCTCAGTAGAGAGGGAAAGGATGAGAGGGAATGCCAGCTGAACTCATCTCAGGGAGCAGAGTCATCACAGCACATGTGTGGAAGGAAATCTGCAACACCAAATTTCAGTGATCTCTCCAATAAAAAAGCCCTTCAGCCTATAGTACTACCCAATCATCCATAAATGCTAATTAACTTTACAAACAACTCTAAACATAATTTTCCATTTACTTATGGATGTTTTCTTTTAACAGAACGCATCTTACTTTGTGAGAGATGTATTTAAGATCCCAGAACTTGACAGACTTGTGCTACTAATACATAACACTTAAAATAACAGACTAATCGAATGCATATATTGGAAATTAAATTTCAACACTAATTTTATAATAAAATTCACAGGCATTCAGCCAGTTTGAGCCGATCAATTAACACACTAATTTTAATGTGATCCACTTTATCATAGATTATAACATAGAAGTATGATTCATTCATTTTTTTGAAAGCCAGGAAAACCCCAAGTTGTAACTCCTTACTATCACCACTCTCTCTCAAAAAAAAAAAAAAATCAGAAATAAAATAAAACCAACAAAACAACAACAAATCAGCTACAATCTCCTGCACCTTCTGCTGCCAGAAATACTTCCATTATTAGCCCAGAACCAGAACTTCATTCAACCTGACAGACACCACATGCATCTTCCAGGTCTGGAAACAGCTATGAAAGCAGCAAACCACAGATTTATTATAGTAAGACCAGTGCTTGTTGGGTTTGGTTTGGGTTTGTTTTTTTTTGTAGGTTTGTTGTTTTTATTTTTTTTTAAATCTGCACGAGACACACCATGTCAAATGTAAAGGTAAAATCCTCAAGTGATTTTAGTCTGGCTTTTGACCTTTCTGCAGCCTCAAGAGTCTCCTCGGCTGCCTGTGCCATCCCCAAAGGCCCAGAGAGGATGTCTGGTTCTGCACACACCTGGCAACAACAGCCAGTGGCTCTCTCTGGCAAAACAAACCAGGGACAAGAGTTGACTCTCCCAAATATTTCTTTTAAAGAGACTGTGCTCCACATATGTGTTTATACACAAGATGGTCCCTCCTTGTGCCACTTTTTTTTTCACCTGTGATACTTATCCCAGGAAGGAAACCCAAAATCAATGACAGCCAAGGCAGCTCAGTCCCTCCCTGCACAGCTTCTCCTTTTGACACATCACATTTTCTGGGGGCTTGAGACAGGAGCTCTTCCAGCAGCAGGAGGTGCCTGGATCTCACAGTTTGGGGACTAAGATGCCTTTTAACACTTCTAAAATAAAAAGAGTTACTAGAAAGTAAATTAGAGAAAAGCTTTGGGCCACACGTTCAAGGCTGGTATGGAAATGCTGTGGAATATTCTGGAATGTTGTGGGACACTGTGAAATATTGTGGAAGGTTATGGAATGTTGTGGAATATGATGCAGGATCCCTGAGGTGCAGGAGGTCATTCTGGCTTCTGAAACAGTGTAGTTGTAGTTTCAATTTTTAGATTTTTTAATGTAAAAGAAATTCTATGCTGCATTGCTACTATAGCATACCATGATTTTTTCCTTTCCTGTCAAGTTTGTCTTCCCCCAAAATATCCCACTGGAATGAGAACATCACTCACAATGCTTCTCAGCTTGTGATATTAAGTTTCTATTTCTCAAGTATTTCCCAGGCATGGGACATAAGATTTTGTAAAACTGTTTCATTTAACAAGCCAAATAACACTGCTATTTTGTTTCAAAGACACTCGTGTAGTGCCACAGCTGATTTTAACTATAGTGACTTTTCTCAGAATGTCCATTTTTTTTTTTAATCTAACTTTATTTTCCTTCTACCTTCGCATCCGATTTTCTCTCTCCTTCTCTCAAAAATATTTCCTGAAGCAAAACCAAGCCCATCTGAGTGCTTACAAATTTTGCAATCATCTCCTACTGTAACAACTGAAATTATGGTCGCGGATCAACCAGAACATTTGTGTCAAGTATTTTTCTTTCTCCTCGTAAAGAAACCCACCCATTACCCAAAACAACAAAAACCTGAAACTTTTTTTGGCCATCATTTACCTTTTTTTTTTTAACCCCTTACTGAATTGGAATGCTAAATTACCAGATCAGTTTTAAGGCTTCCCAAAGATTCACGTTGCCTCCCCTTTACTTTCAACCTATTCTTTCATTTTTCATTATCTGCTCCATTGATTATCCTGTTACAAAGTAGATTATTTAACACCATCTGCTTCAATGCCCAAAACATTTCCGTCACTATCTTATTCTTCATCAAAACCCAGACTATGGCTGTTAACAAAACTCCAAAGTGTAAATAATTTAAAAAGAATTTTCACTGCTCAAGTTCAACCTTATTATGCTCTTCCATAAAAGAGAGTAGATGAGGTACCACCAGCAGGAAGCTTTGAAACTTTCACTAAAATGGTTCTGCTGAGTAACCTTAAAAACATGTTGCACAATAACCTGTCAAAACACTTCCAAGATAAAAGATCACACTGTTTCTCTAAAAGGCACATTAAGAAGTTGCAGTTATAAATAAATATGATTTTTAGATTGAAGCATCTGTAGGAAGGAAAACAGACACAGAACTTTCACTTTAAATGCCGAAGTTTTTTATATTTTAAAGACAGCTTCTCAAGGTGACAAAGGTGCTGTGACTGGGGGAACACTGTCTTTGCATGGTGGATGTTTGAGCCTCCAGAACCACTTTAAGCATCTCCCCTTTGCAGGGCACAGACAGAGAGAAGTGGGTACTGGTGGGTACCACTTCAGCAGGCAGCTGGAGCAGACTTTAACTGTGTCCATTCATTGCATTCCTGTGTCACTACAATGACTGCATCCTTCCCACAGGGGCCAAGAGCTCCTCAGACAACAGGGCACATTCACAAAAAAACAAAAAACCAAAATTCTGGCTAAGGAATCAGTACACAGGAATTCAGAATAAAGTTCTCAACAGCTATCACTATTCATGTACAGCTGCTTTTGCATTTGAGCAGCAGCAGAGAATCTAAGGAAATAATGTAAAATCTATTATTTAGAATAAAAAATTGTAATCTGACCATATTTTGTCAAACTATGTCCTATGTAAGCCTTGCACTAGGTCACCCATCCATCAGAACAGGCTGGGGAGCACCAGCTAGACAAAACAAGCTCAGTTCCTAACTGGCATTTACACTTAAATTACAGCATTGCATAAGCACCTTCCAAGTGGTCCACAGTGTCTTCTACTGTTCTCTCTAAATATTAATACTGATAAATCAGCACTGCTGCTGGCTACTCTGTGCTTTGCTTTTGGATTTTTAACATCTTCATTTATTTTTCACCTTCATGTATTTTTATAGTATACCATGTATTTCTTCCAAGCTGTCTCCTGGTTATGAAGATCGAGTATGCATTCAGTCATTTCATTAAGGTAATTTTTTTCAAATAAATTGGGGTATTCTTTTCTATTTTTTTTTTTTTGCTGTTGTTGCAGAATTCTTAAATTTGCTCTTCCTTTATTTTATAGGAATCAAACTTGATGATTGTGTATTTATTTCCTAAATTTAGACTTCACATGACTTTATATTATCCAAGACCAAAATAACAACAAAAATAACTGTCCAAAAGCCAGAGTATTAATTCATGAAGGAATTCAGGTTGGAAGGAACACCAGGAGGTCCTGCTTGTATAAAGCTTTGTGCAGTCAGGGAAATATTTCTGAACTAAGGACTATAAGCTACTGCACTTTTCTCAATGTCCATTAAAAAAAAACAACCAATGTAACTAACAAGCACCAGGATACACAGAAAATGGTTCACCCAAGATGCAGTCACTGAATGGAGAACACAAGATTAAAAAAAAAAAAAAAGCATTTATTTATTTTTAATAAATAAGAATTAAGAATGAAAACAGCAAATATGTTTTCATCAAAACATTTAAAGAGTATCTGTGTTGTGTGAAAATTTGTCAATATTTAATAATGTGAACAAGTATAAATTAAGAGTACAAACAGGACAGATTAAAGCAGCCTAATTGAGAAATAGATTTCTAAATAAATAAGGTTTGGTTTTTATATTTTTTAATCTCTCAACTTGTGAATATTAATAGTATAAAACCAGGAGGATGCATTACAATTGAACATTGAGTTGTTCTGTATAACCTCTTCAAATATACAATATATAATAACTCAATACAATAAAAACAACTCAATGAATATTCAAATACAATTAAAAATGGGATAACTAAGGGATGAACTTATTTGCAGTTAGACATCATATATATCATTAAATTTACAGTTACAAGCAGGAGACTTATCTATACCTATGTGTTCTTGAAACAACATTATCTGAGTTTGCTCTACTGCACCTATGAACACTCAATCTCTGGAATTAAAGCCACACAGGAACAAGTCCTGACAACAGGCAGTTAACTGAAGACAGGCATGAATCAATCAAATACTGCAGTTATACAGAAGCAACTGGAACACATTTAAATGAAGATGAACAAATGAACAAAACTGTTTAAAAACAAAGTCTAAAAACCTAAGAAGTAAAAAGCCTCTAAAAAAATAATCAGAGTTTACTGAATTTGTTAAAGACCAGAAGCATCAGCTATGATTCTCCAGTGGTACAGAAACCTTTGGCATCTATTAAGTTTCACAGGCAATTGTAAAAAGCGTTTCACAGAATTACTTTCAAAGTGTTAGCCACTGTCTCCTGTATTCCCAAGAACTCATCAAATTTGGAGCTGTATGTGGAACAGACAGAGCCATCCCAGGCAGGGAGTCAGGAGTCAGCCCAGACCAGAGCCTGACCATGAGTTCAAGGTGTGCTGTCACACCAACAGCACCTTTCTTATTGTAAGAAACAAAATGTGCTTAGGAAACACATATCACAAAATTCAATAATTGTTTGAAGGCTATGGATTGTTAAGTAGTTAAAAAACAGTGAAAGTGATACCTTGGCAGCCTTCAGCAAAATTTCCCTCTCTTGTTCATCTTTCCTTTGCTTTTCCAAACGCTCCAACTGCTCAAAGAACTTCAGCTGTGATCGGACATCTGTGGCTTGTTCGTACCACTCATCATCCTGTAAAACAGGGACAGGCCTTCAGAAAAACAGCCACTTCAGCAAGACCATGCATTTACAGACTGCAAGTGTTACACATTAAAATCTTTCCTGAAGCAATAAAATGATCATTTTTTAGGCTCTAGGAAATTAAGCCAGCCTATGGTTAAGAACGCAGAGAGAATCTGATAATTTAATTAATATCTAAGCAATTTTAAAAGATCAAAAATTGATTTATGAGCACCAGATACATTAAAGAGTTAAAAAAAGTAAAACCAACTGACTTAATGATGGAAAACATCTAAAATGCTTAACTTTGTAACTGAAAAATCCTAGCTGCAGTTTATAATGAGGCTCATAACCTATAATTCTTGCATTTATACTAATCTTGAACTAGTAACAGACTTTCTCAAGAAGCAGCATTATAAAAGCATTAAAGCTAAAAACTCAGTTGAGAATAAGCCTCTAACTCCAATTAAAACAGAAGCTTATGATAACTAAGAGCAGGATAGTTTTCCTAGCACGCTGAAACCAGGAGAGTTTATGGCATGAACCACATGGAGAACACTCAGAATGTCAGTCAGAAAAATAAGATTCCCATATTACTTTCATCCCATTTATCTATTTTATGTTCTCCTTTCTGACTACCATGCTATGAAATCAAAGAATAGCATTCATTAATAAAAATACAGAATACAGTGACAATGCTACATTTCAGTCAGAGACAACACTATTTTTTTTCCTAAGGATCTTTTAAGACACTTCTAAATTCTTCTTTGGCTTAATATGGACTAAGCAAATTGTTTTCTTCACAGACACCATCCTAGAGAAAAGGAAGGAGGAACTTAACACTTCTGAAAATGATAAAGAATACTGAACAGAAACAAGTATATTTTACTTTTAATCCAATATAGTAGTCCATCAATTGCAATGAAAGATCTAAGTGTGCATAATAACCAGGAAGAACGGCCTTTATTTTTTAATCCATTTTTCTATCATAATGACATTGATTATAGTCACAGACCCCAGAGATTATTATTTTTGCAAATATTACATAGAATTGATCCAACCATGACTCAGGTCATGGGGCCCCCAGGTTTGGGAAATAGGTAGGCTAAGACACAGTCCAAAGCTGTTTGACTAGACTGCCACTCCAGGAATACAAAGCAGTACATCACAAAACCAAGGAACAAACTAAACCAGAGCTATCCAATGTATATATATGCTAAAGAAATCTAAATACAGCTTAGACAACGCACAACTAGTTATTGCCATCTTCCTTGACACCAGTTTAACAATTATAATAACTAACAAGCATCTTACTTCTACTGGAAAAGATATTTCAAATACATCAAGAAAGATGTTTGACTCATTTGAATTTCAAACTGATTTGTAGATCTTTATTTAAATTTCCCCCTGGTCTGAGATATCAAAATTGTTTCAGTTTTCTTCAGGAATAAAATCACAAACAAAAAAATCAGTGAAGAATTTACAGCTGAATTCTTTAGTTGCTAAGGCAGATACTGGCAGCTTTTGTAAAATATTAATATTTCTTACATCCAGAAAAGTTATTATAGATTCTTAAATACCAAAGCAATTTTGATGCAACTCCTGGATACCCTGGACAAAAAGGAGCTATCAGGAATCAAGTCTTAGTCACAGCCCACGAGCAGACACAGAAGGACAGAAACAACTCCACGCCCAAATTCCCCCAGAGGAGAAGATGAGCAGGCAGGCTGGCTGTGCCACGCCAGCAGAGGTTCTGAGCAGCAGCTGCAGTGAGGGCAGCAGTGCAGAATGGAGCAGGACGTGGCTGTGAGCACACCTGCCCTGGGCACACTTACTTTGTACGACTCCATCCGGTGCTGGGTTATCACCGTCACCTTCTCTATCACTGTCCTCAGTCTGCTCTGTGTTGCGTGGGAAATAAAAGTAACCACCTCAGCTGGCACATCAGTAATTCCTAGTTTTTTAGCTAAAGCAAAAAACAAAACAAAACAGAATTAGCTTACCCCGCAGAGGAAAAAAAACCCAGAATACAAAAAAAGCTCTAAAGTACTTTACATCACTACTTCATTTTCCTGCATAGAAAAATCCATGACAGTGTATTTATGTGGCTCTGGTGACACATTCCTGACCCCCTGAAAAGAGTGCAACTCTACAAGTTTAAAAGAGAAATCAGAGAATTTCTTGAACTCTTGAAAGCACTTAGGAACTTTAGCAAAGTTTAGCCTGGCACATTAAACTGAGGCACGTCACAGTATGAGACAATCTGAATTCTCAGTTGTTCTACACAGAAAAAACAATTCCTTTATTTTCAGAAGCATTAGTGCAGCTGAGTTTCAGTGTCGAGCAGGTGAGGGTGCAGCCCAAAGCATTCTGTTGCATCCTTTAGCCTACACCACTGGCATAGTACCAATAACAGAAATTCCTTAGGGAAAAAAAAAAACAGCTATTAATTGAAGGCAAAGAAATAAATTCATATTAAAAAGAGTTAAGAAATGTTCAGGTACACCAGCTGTCCCCACAATACATATTCATGGCTACCTGGACATTTGACACTTCGTGCTGAGTTTATAAAAAAAGCAGTCTACAGTCTAATGCATTTATATATTTAAAAAACATCCAAATTACAGAAAAAAATAATATGGGTAACACTTAAGGACTCCTAAATTCATCAAAATAATTACTAAGTATTTGATATAAATTTGTAGGTATATGAATGTATGTACTTATTTAAACTACAGTCCTACAAAGACACATGTGGTCCCAGCAGGAAAATTTTCTGAGTAGAAAACTCCCTGTGTTCACACATAGATACGTACATTTCACACAGGGAAAAAAAGGGTAGTTGTACTTTGTATGGACTGTTGGTGTTGAAACACCCACCAGAAAAGAATAAATCTGCTGAGTCAGTTTTCCATTGAATGGACACAAGACTTTCAAGAGCAGTTTGGTTGGGACACAGGAATGGTTATGCAAAACACAGAAATTTGTGACTCTTTTGGTCAGTGCTTCCTACAGAGCCAACTGCAAGGGGAATTGTTCTCTGGGGAGGGGTCCCAGAGCAAACACCGAACTCGGCTGCACGAGAGCGAGTGTTGGCTTTGCGAGGCATTCCTCCTTTCCCCTGGCTGAACTCGAGAGCAAGAAACCGTCCCATGGCTAAAAGAATGTGGGAGAAAAAAGAAATGAGTGCGGGTGGAAGCGGGAGTGGAGTGGGGTCGCGACACCTGCTCTGTCCTTCCCTTCCCTTCCCTTGGCTCCTGCTCCAGCGGGATCTGCCCCTTCCCTTGGCTCCCGCTCCAGCGGGATCTGCCCCTTCCCTTGGCTCCCACTCCAGCAGGATCTGCCCCTTCCCTTGGCTCCCACTCCAGCAGGATCTGCCCCTTCCCTTCCCTTGGCTCCCACTCCAGCAGGATCTGCCCCTTCCCTTCCCTTGGCTCCCACTCCAGCGGGATCTGCCCCTTCCCTTCCCTTGGCTCCCACTCCATCGGGATCTGCCCCTTCCCTTCCCTTGGCTCCCACTCCAGCGGGATCTGCCCCTTCCCTTACCTTGGTTCCCGCTCCAGCAAGATCTGTCCCTTCCCTTCCCTTGGCTCCCAATCCCCTGGGATCTGCCCCTTCCCTTGGCTCCCGCTCCAGTGGGATCTGCCCATTCCCTTCCCCTGGCTCCCGCTCCAGCGGGATCTGCCCCTTCCCTTCCCCTGGCTCCCGCTCCAGCGGGATCTGCCCCTTCCCCTGGCTCCTGCTCCAGCGGGATCTGCCCCTTCCCTTCCCTTGGCTCCCACTCCAGCAGGATCTGTCCCTTCCCTTCCCCTGGCTCCCCACTCCAGTGGGATCTGCCCCTTCCCTTGCCCTGGCTCCCACTCCATCGGGATCTGCCCCTTCCCTTGCCCTGGCTCCCACTCCAGTGCGATCTGCCCCTTCCCTTGGCTCCCGCTCCAGCGGGATCTGCCCCTTCCCTTCCCCTGGCTCCCATTCCAGCGGGATCTGCCCCTTCCCTTCCCCTGGCTCCCACTCCAGTGGGATCTGCCCCTTCCCTTCCCCTGGCTCCTGCTCCAGAGGGATCTGCCCTCCCCGCGCATCCCGTCCGGCCGGGATCTCCAATTCCAGCCCCACTGCACCTCCCCAGCACAATTCTTTACTCCGGCTACCGCCGGTGCTCATTTTAGGGATTCTTTGAAGTCGTTACCTCTTACAATAACTTAATCACTGACCCCCTATCTTCCGCGTTACCGTAAGGATTTCAGCAAGATGGATATATGATTTTTAACTAATTTTTGCTTTATCATGGGGAAAAAATAAATTAAACCTTTCTTGGTGCCCAATTTGTCCTGTGTAATAGAGCTGGAGCTGCGCTCGGGTTGCTGAAAGCTGAACGACTAATGGCAAGCAGACACACACATTAAATCCCCACGCTGCAACTGCCACCCAGGCAAATGAAGTCCTTGAAGTTGGGAGGACGATTCCTACAGGCAAGAGCAATTCCTCCAGGTCAGACTGGCAATATTTGAGCATGCACCATTTTACAACGCAAACACGTGTAAGCAAAGCCATCAGTCAGAAAACCCTAGTCTGAAAGATAAAATGCAAGTAAGAAGGGCCATTTAATTAACTACTACCCAAAAAAGAGGCCCGGAGATGGAAAATTCTGCCTTATTCTAGGTAAGGTTGAGAATGTGTAATTGTTACAGTTCTTTGAATTTGAGTGTAACTTCAGCTACCCAACTTCTCTGAAAACACACACACTCCTTTTATAATAAGAACTATTGCCATCTTGGGTTTTTTCACAGTAAAGGTCTTTCTAATCTCAAAGAATTTTATTCTAAGTAAAGCCAACCATTACAGGACTTTTCTTGTCCCTTTAACTCTTCAGAAATTCAACTATAATCTATGAACCAAGTATCTCTGAGATACTTGATGCGTTAAGATTCTTGTCCTTCATCAGCCTCTGCGATATCCCAGTAACTACCTTCTCCTAAAATCCCTCAATATAATATTCCCAAGTCTAGGAAACTACCCAGAAACCAGAGAGTCCCCCTCAGGAATCTGCCCTGGGACTTCCCCTTTTTAATGGGTGTCTCAGGGACCTCAGGGGTGAGACACAAAGTCCCCATACCAAGCCTGCAGATGGCACCACCCTGAGCAGTGCACAGGGAAAGGACCTGGCGAGTGAAACGAGAGGAACTTCATGGAACTCTTGAAGGACAAGTGCAAAGCCCTGTGCCTGGGCTGGACTCACTGGAATGCCGTGGGCTGGGGTCAGCAGCCCTGATGGGATGTGCATGGAGAGCCTGGAGGCCAGCAGGTTACCCAGGTTCCAGCTCTGCACCCTGGCACCCCTGGGCTACACCTACAGCAAAACAATAAATCAGCGGTAACCAACCCACCTGGGGAAGCAACTCCTCCTCTTCACTCAGCCCACATGTACAACCCTGCACCTTTGGGTCACCCAGCACAAGAAAAGCTTGAAAAAAATTGAATCCAGGAAAAAGTCAGCAAGATGGTCATGGGGTTGCAGCACACAACCTACATGAGGAGAATCTGAGGGTTCTTTTTCTTGGACTAAGAAGACTTAAGGGAAAGTTTATTGAGAAGATACAGCCAGACCCTTTATTAAGTTTGCCTGGAAGAAGAATGAAAACTAAATTCATAAACTGAAACAGTTATTTCTGACTGGATATAGGGGAGAACTCTTTCATGAAGAAATAATGGAACACTTTGCACAAACAAGGCGCAGACTGTTCCACCTCTCAAGTCTTTAAGACTTGGCCAATTAATGTCCTGAACAACCCAGTCTAAATTGAATGTTGATTCAGCTGTGAGCAAGAGACTAGAGTGGTTCCAAGATCCCTGTCCTCCTGCATATGTGCTTCCATATTCCTTATTACTGCACAATACTGTGACATCTCTCCTACATCTCAGATCATCCCCTGGCACATCTCCCAGTCCGTATTTGTCCAGCATGCCAGCTGAGCACAGTCAGGGACCTTGAGCCTGGCCAGTCTGTGCCAGAGAGCTCACTGGCAGCCAACCAGGCAGAAGAGCAAAGAACAAGAAAAAAATGGGTTTATTTCCCCCTCAACTCAGGCACACAGAGGGGGCTCTATCTAGCTCCTGATTTATCAGTTGACTCAAAAGTGACCTGAAGGGAAAGAAAAACGGCAAATGGAATATTCAATCACTTAAGGCTAAAATTCTTTGGAAAACAGGATAAGGGGAAAAGAATACAATTTCCCCCCAAATGAATTAGCATCAAGAAACCAGACTACAAAAAGACTTTTAAAAAGTCATCTTGTCATTTACACAATCCATCATGTGTAGAAGCATCATCACGTCTTCCCTGCTTTAAATTACATTAGTTAAACCCTGTTAGCCTGGGATGTCAGAAGCAGGGTGCATTCCAAAGCTGCATACTACATGAAGATTTGGCACACTCCTTAAATACTTGGATTGCACTTGGGGCAAGGGTGGGAAAATTACCAATTTCATCCATGCTTGGTAATCCTGGCCTGCTTACACTTTCATACACAGCTGCTCCCACCACTGTGCTGAATCCACTGACCTACGAGATGTTGTGACACCACTGCTTAGAGCCCGTCTCTTTTTTGCTTTCTTCTACTCAGAAAAAATACCAAATAGAAACTGAATGTAAGCACAGGGCTGGCAACTGTTAATTTTAATATGTTTCTGTATTAAAGTCTTAGTTTTGTCTTTTTTTCTTGACTGCCACTTCTCCTCCTGAGATCTGCTCTCATTTATAAATTTCTTAAAATGAAATATATAAAAGATCATCCAGTCTCATTTATAAAATGCATACTGGAATCCTGTCTGCCATCAAAAGAAAATAACACTTCTCTCTAAATGGGAAATTCCTAACATATTCTTCTAGTCTGCTTAATTACTTTTCCCAGTGTTAATAGGAAAAGGCTACTCTCCCCTTTTCAAGATTCCCTAGAGTGATAATGATGT